ATGCTTCACCACGCAGGTGATGGTGTGCAGGCAGAGCTGGGCACTGCTAGTCCCTGAATGAGCATGAGCCAAGCAGGACGCTGAACCCTCACTCACACAGATGAGTCCTTAGAAAGAGGATGCTAATGATCTGCTAAAGCAATCCAGGGAAATGAAATCCCATGTGTAACCACTATCACATTATTGTGTTTGATTAGTCAGAGGCAAGAAGAAAGAAAGGAGTCTCCAGCCACACAGAAAGCAGAATCTGTTCTCCATAGCTGTAATTGGTGAGACAAGAAATAGCTGCCTTAAACTGTACCAACAGAGATCTAGGCCGAAATGATTCCCAACAGCGAGGACAGTGGAGCACTAGAACAGGCTGCCTGAAGATGCTGCAGGGACCTCATCTTCAAACGTCTTTAAAAACAGTTTAGGCGTTTGCCTGGAATGATGCTGCCTTGAGTTAACAGGCCAGGCCAGACTGCCTCCAGCCCCAGTCTAGACAAACCTATGAGCAAAGCCTCAAAAACAGGCAGGGCATTTTCTTCCATTCATCTACCAAATTAGTAGGTCTGGGATATCCTCTGCTGTTGTTAGCAAACACCATGTTTTAATAGGCCTGCCACATAAAAAGAGGAATATGGTTAGTATCAGGAATACAGAGATGATTGCTAATGCCTTCATAACACTGATGTGATGGGAAAGGGCTGGCTCACCACAACCCTGGGTCCTCTGAATAACCTGCATAAAAGTGCAACACAAGGCACAGGAGGGGAGATGAAGAAGCCTACTATGAACCTTGGAATATATTAGTATGCCATTTATTAGCTATTAGAGATACAAATCTGGGCTCAAAAAACATTTTCTACAAGAAGCTGGAAAGGTTGCACAGACCAGATTTTCGCCCTCTGAAAACATCCTATGAATTTTTCTATTTCATTTAAGAATGTAGGAGGTAGCTGTCTACAAAGTTGTCAGCAAACTGGCAAACATGATGGTCCATCCTCATGTTGTTGGATGTTCTTATGCGCTTTTTCAAGCTTTGAGCATGTTAGGAAGCAAAATGACATTTTAACATCATTTCAGCTACCTTTATTTTAGACAAAGTTTTTGTACATAGAGCCAATGAAAGCTTCAACATATTTAGACCAACTAAAACCTCTGCTTTTGCCTCCTGTCCCTTTTCTCTTCCATTAGCTAGACAATCTGCAGAGATCAAGAAATAAAGCCCAAACTTCAGGTTAGCTAAGCTCTTAGAGATGCAGCCTTCAATCCAAGTTGACTAAAACTCACCAGCTGCTCTTCTTCTGGCACCTGTGAGGGGATGGTTAACGATTACCCCAGCACAGGCCACTTTGCTTATACTATTTTACTGCTAAAAGACAAAGACGTATATAGAGACATGCACTGTTCTTTTCTTTAAATAGGAGAGAATGAAAACCCCTCAGAAAGTGTGATAGAGGCATCAGCGTTGTTTGTGAGAGTTTCTTCCTGGTATCTATGGAGTCTGTCACCACATGGAAGCTCTCTCTTGAGCGCTGGTACACTAGAAACCCCAAGAAAACAATTCATAAGAGAAATTAGAAGTTAATGCTGAAAAAATTAACACCAAAAACTAGAGCTCAGAAAGTGAAAAGAACCAAGTGTGGAAACAGCACATGATCAAATTACTTATAGGAGTAATATGAGAGAAAAATAAGGAAGTGGAATGTATTTTTAAGTGGAAGGTGACTAGCCCTTGTTCTCTAAATGGAATAAGATAAACTAATGCCAACCCATAAGGGTTTGAAAGCCTATTACCTCTCCACAGGTGGGTAAAAGCCTTATTCTTAGCTATGAATTTCTTCTTCTCCAACTTGTAACAGCCAATCTGAAGATCCAGTCATTATTCAGAAGAGCAATGAAAACAAAACAATTCAAAGAACTGCCTCATGAAGAAAAAACAGATAGCCAAATACACAGAGTCTGGTTAAACAGAGATGAAATTAGAGATAAGAAAGTTAGCAGTAAATATACAAACAATGCAGCTGTGAAGGAGATAAAGACATAGAAGAGGGTGAGAGAAAATTAATATCGACATATAAATATTAAGAAAATACACTATGATCAAATTATTTATGGATTAGATTTACAGAAGATGATGAAGGTTCACTTACTAGAATACAAATACGGAGTGGCTAAGACATCAGAAATACAGTTTTAAAAAAATCCTATTTGCAGGATTAAAAAACAAAACAAAACAAAAAAACCCAACACATACATAAAAAACCCAAAACAAAACCTCTCAAAACCAAGAACAACACCAAAAACACCCTCAAGAATCAAGCATCTTGCTTCATTTTCATTTACATCATGGTCATTTACACAAATCAGCTCCCCTCACTGCTATTTAAAATTCATCTGAAAGTCCAGAATAATCTTATTTTGAATTTGGTATCGTCTGCCAACAGAGGCCTTAGACTTCAGCTGAATATCTCTGTTAGATAGTCCTTGCTCAGCCATACTGAAGCATCACAAAATTACTTTGGAAACTGCTTTTAATAATAATTTTTAAAGCTCAAAAGAAATGTTTTTAGCAGAATTCAGATCGCTTCATAATGAAAGAACATCCATAAACTTTTCAGGTTTCAGTATTTTGCATTCTGAGTGCTGCTAACCAAGGAGGAAGGGAAACCTTGTAGCCTCTGATGGCAGAAAACATACTTGAACAAAAGGGAAAATCCTGCAAAGGACTGTAAATGTCCCTACATGTGTGACCTATCCTTGTCAGGTTCAATGAGAAGTATATTCCTTTAAAACCAGGAAAAACATATGTTAAACCTGACAGGTGTCAATGTCGACAATGTAGGGAGGAAGGAGATCAAATCTCCTGCCTCCCTGGCTCCCAGATTTTGAACAAAGCAGTTGGTTTGTGCTCTGAAGTGTCAGCCAGATGTTGGATCATTTGTGACTTGCTCGAACAGATGAACATGTTTTCATCCACCACTAAGTGGAGCTGTTACACCTGGAAAAGAGTTTCTCCTTATTTTCAAGTATCTCTGCAGATCATCTTTTTTTGGCAGTATCTACAGCTTTTTGTAGTGTTTCGTTTTTTAAAAATTATTTTTAAAAAACGAGAATGGATTAAAAAACACAGTTTTATAGTTGATTTAGCTCTCAATTTTTTGCAGAAAAATGATCAAATTTATTAATCTGAAGATAATATTTATATATTCTGTAATCGAAGTATGAATATCTACCTACCAATGACTATTTGGCAGTATGATGAACTAATGGCATAATTAAGGTTGAAAATAATAAGTTTGCATATAACAAAAGACTGCTCCATGACCGATATATACTGGAACCATTTTCATCTGTTTGGGCACAGGCTGCCTGCTTGGGGCACAGCAACTGAAGCAACCTCCCACCCTGCAAGCGTTACTGCAGCTTAGAGAAGATTTGAGGCAAAGCACAAGAACAGCATGCAGTGGCTGTACTACTGCTACCTCTATATATCATACAATGATATGTGGAAAAAAAGCAATGTGTTATAAAACAGGACATGAAGTCTACATGCTCACTACAAACTTCTGAAAAAAATCTGCTGCAGCATCACAGGAAACCCAACAATACCCAGAGGGCTTGGCTGAGAAATACACTGACATTGTTTTATCCAGAGTAACTTGCACAGTGACAATCAGTGATAGAAACTTCCCTGTTTAAAATAAACTAAGCGAGAAAGAAAAGGCAACACCAGGAAACGGCAAATAAACTGTTTTGTGTTCATAAATCTCAAATGAAAATAGAAACTTGACATTTAAAAACAAAAGTATAAATTAAGCACTTTGCTTTCAGCCCTTTTAATTGTTTAGTCACCAACGATCAGAATAAACCTTAGCTTTGGACATTCAAATCACTTCTGTTATAGACAAGAAGGAAAAAGCAACATTTTTAGGCAAAAAAGATAACGAGCAAATTCCATTGCTTCCCCATACTTCAGTGCTGTGTAGCACTACTAAGACTCATCAGAAAGCAGTATTTTTTTTTTGTTTAAATACAACATAAATAAAAATTAAATCATACTACTGAAAAACAGTCCATAATGAAACTATATTAATGAGAGTCAAACACTGTCTTGATACCACAGTCCTTTTAAATATATTTCAAAACAGAGCTTCCTCTTCAAGGAAACTCCAAGTAAAGCAGCTCCCCCAGTTTTGAGTCCAGGCAGGCCCAGAGTGGAAGCTGCAGCCCAATACAGAGAAGGGAAATGAAAAGAAGACTTCATGAAGCACCTGCCCTATGAAATGTTAAGCCCTGCTGTTTGGCAGTGTGTTGTTTGTACAGCCCTCAGGAGCTCAGTTCTCTGGGAAGTTCTGGGAACTCCTGGCTCAGAGGAGTCACAGATACCCAGAAGCCACCTTTTGGGTTTTCACTGGGTGCACAAGACGGCTCCCCCATGCAGAGATGATGAGACTGGGATCCCAGGGAGAAGGGGACATGTCGTGACACTTGTTCTTTGCTACGTGACTGAGGCTGGTCCCACCTCTCCACCCTGCCTCAGTTTCCTCACCTATAAAATGCAGGTGATGAAACTATGCTCTTCACTAAAGAACAGTATTCAAAATCACAAAGGGTGCTCTGCTGTTTGGGATGTACGGATGTCATAACCCAGCTCTGACATGTTCACACCCCTGCTCATAGAAAAATAATGTGTCATAACCCGTAAAACAATGAGTCATAACCCAGCTCTTAACTTGTTTACTCCGCTGCTCATAGCAAAATAATGCAAGGAAGACTGATGCTTACAGGGAAGGAATTTAAGTGTAGTATAGTATTCCCCTCTCCTGTATTTTAATTGTAACATAACAATACATATTTTAATAAGACTTTATTACTATGGAACAAGGCTTTACTGTAGTTCAGCAGATCAAATCTTACTCAAGCCTTTTTTAGCATTTAGACACCCTATAATCCTTTAAATTATTAAGTCTTACACATATAAAAAAAAATCCCATAACAACATTCCAGCTTACATTCTCTATGACAAACGTCCATTCTTTGTCTTCAAACTCTTCAGCATGAGGATCCTAGAAAAACAAACCAGAGAACTTAAGTCAAAAAACAATCCAAGGTACAAGAAATTGTAACTTAGCCAAGATTTTCATATATTCATAGAAATATTTTTACCCACTGAAGATGACAGAGGGAAATATTTTAGTTGGGATGTAGGCTTCAATGGATGTCAGTAAGATAACAAGCAAATCGGTGTAAAAGTGCTGGTGAAGATTTAATAGACCCCTTCAGATACAAACAAGAGATTGATTCTGATAAAGGCCTGTAATTCTCTATTTCCTTTCATCCAGAGCTGAAATCCAGATAAACCTCAGTTTACTTCTTCAGTTCCACCTCCCAAATAAGCACAACAAATCTACATCTTGCAGAGAACAGCAGAGGAAGCCACTGCTCCCACATGGTGTGAGAACACATACACTTACAGCAGGCATCAAAAAACCATCAACCCAGCCTCCTTGTGTCCAAACTCTATCAGCATGAGTGGAGATCCAAAGTCATTGTTTCTCCACATTACCTCATTTCACTGCAAATTTGTTCAATTACTTACTTCACAACATTTCTATTACATCACAGGCAAGGGTCAAAAAACATTGTCATCAACAGGGAGATAAATAACCCGGTTCATATACTGGGCATTTGTTTCTAATTTAATGAGCTTTCAACCCAGTGGTACAGTCTGTATTGTGGTTGTCTGAAATTAAGATAACAATGGAGATATTAAGTAGTCATCTCCTTCATGCCTCTATCAAATATCCTACTTTTAAAAAATGCTATTAAAAAAGAAAAATCACTAATTTATCATCCAATCCTAGTTCTGACCAACTATAACAAAATTAATTCTACTCCTCTTGCAAATTAGCTTCTCACACTAAGAGAATGTGGCTTTAGGCTTTCTTCTGACACGAAGCCCCATTTCATTATACCTCAATTTTATCCTATTATTTCTAGTTATAGGAAATTACTCAATTACTCCTTTGCCTGACACTTGCACGCTATAGAGACTTGTAGATAAATGTCACTTCCCCATAATCAGCATTTCCCTTCATCATATATGAGACCTCTCAGCTCCTGCAGTTTTCTCACTATTATTTAGAGCCTGTTTATGATACTACATCAAGCACTGCACCGATTCCATCTTGCTGCTGTAAATTAACAAAATAGATCAAGATATTTTGCTTCTACTTTGATTATCTCTTAGTACCATCTTTCCTTCCTTTACAGAACGCTACAAGGCTCACATTCAATCTTTTCAACTCACCTTATCCTAGTCTTTGCCTTAACCATCCTTGTTTCACTTAGTTTTTGCCTTGAAGTCAGACATGCAGTGAGTAGAGGTAGTGTACCACAGTACTGCAAATTATTCTTTTAACTAGTTCTCATCGAATACACAAAAGATTTTGTAACATGTTTCCAGCATAAACAATTAGCAAAAAGAATTATTTTTTTCTTTTCCAGCACACAAAAAATTTGGGAAGTGTGCTCTTAAATAAACCTCCTCTTTGAATGAACTACAATAACTTTTCTAAGAGGATATCATCCTGTCTCAACCAGTGCAATCCTTCCCACAAAATCCAGCAAAGTGGGTTCACTGCTCTGCAGACCCCCTGTAAAACACTGGCTCTCCTTGCAGGAGTAGTCTCACTAGGCATCAACATACAGAGAAAATTCAACCATACATCATATCATTGCCACCATCATTAGCTATGTATTTAACAGCTACAACCACAGTTGTCATGTGCAATACACATTTTAAAATGCATTACTCCAACAATGGGATGTAGTTTCAGTGAAAAAAATATGTTTCTAGAAACTTATAAAACCCCAATTATTTATTTTTATATTTACTTAATTATATATCCATCACATTAATCAGGTTTGTGGGATTCTGCATTATGTAAATAAAGTGCATAATACTTGCTAGTTTGCTGTATCCTACATAAATTCTGAAGATATAGTTCTCTGTAATTCAGCTATTAAATATTTACAGTTTTCAAGAGTTAACCTGGGGCAATTACCTTTTTGTCTAATTGCTTCTTTTGATACAGCATAAAATGACATAATGAGATTTAATGAGATCATTAATCACTTTTTGTTTCAATAAGCTACTCCACAGTAAGTGACTAAACTCTTATTCATCCTGCTCAATTTTTTTTGTAACTCCCCCAAAAGCTATTAATGCAAGCTTGCAGGTTTAGCTAAAACTGCTTGCAAAGTCAGGGCCCAATATTTTATCCCAGGTAACAAACAAAACAATCATTATTTCGTTCATGCAAAGCAATAATCTATAAAGAAAAACAAAGCTCTTCTACGAATGGCAATAAAACCGATTCACACCTCTGAAGGCTACAGAATCAGGCACTCAGGCACTCTGCTGAGCATTTTCTGATAATCTGCTAGAGCAAAATAATACTGTATAATAAAGAGACTTCTTAATATTCCACATATTAGCATGCACTTGAAAGCGAATTGTGAACACTTTTCAAAAATAAAGTTTCAAGGGCTTCTCTAATGAACAGCCTTACCAAAATTTTGGAGAGTATGAAATATGCTAAGATCTAGACACCTTGCATATATATCAGATCTTTCAGATGTAAAGACAAATACAGATTTATTTTTTTTTAAGGCCACATTTATTGTTAGTCTTAAAATGCCTCTAGAAACAGAAAACCCCAAATAAGCTTATACACATTTCCTTGCAACAGACACATCAGTGGCTTCACCCTTCTCACTAAAATGCATTTATTAGAAGCCCAGGGACCAGCATATGTAGTCCTATTTCCAGCTAATTTACAATTTCATTACATGCTCAGCATTAATAGATACTCATACGATTACAGTTACAACACAGTTTCTACTGCAACCACCGTTTCACTCTGTGGACTAACATTTCCGTGTGTGGTCTCCATAAAAAGTGATGCTTCTATAAATCTGGCTAATCTTTCATCTTATTTTGGATTTGAAGAGTGTAAATACCAGTAAAAAAATGCTAACCACTCATACTTCCCTCACTGGCTAACCCATATTCTCCATTCCTTTCCCACATACAACTCATGCAATGAATTTAGCAAACTATTTTTTGATGACATGCAGCTGACTACTCTTTAGGGAAATAAAAAATGCCAGTGCAAAAAAGAATAAGCCTAGAAATAACAGTTATAGCAGCCTTTGAAATTTTCACTGTATGAAAGCCTTCCCTGATCACACAGCATGCAAAACCTCATCTCACCTACAAGCAGATACAAGTAATCACTGAAAATGCGCAGCTGGAACACCTAAAGACAAGAGTTATAAACAGACCTCATTCCGATCCTCCTTCCTGAAAGCAAATGATAATGAAAATTACCTAAAAAGCTCAAGGAACCAACTGTCGCCAGTATTTTTCTCAGCCTGAAACTACCTCGTACCTCACTGTAACACAAAGGGAGCTGGCAAGAGCCATTTCATTTTTTACCAACATACCACAGATGCAGAACTAAACTCTATCCAACACTCGTTACTGTTTTACCTTGAACTGAAAACTGTATTTGGGCAAATAGATTGAATGGCTTGTTATTCCTTCTCATTTTATTCTGTAAAAAAAGAGTCATCACTCTTAGTCTCAAGAGACAGGCCCCATTTTCCTGTTTCTCTTTCCATATGTCTTTGCCTCTCAGTATGACACTTCTTTTCAGCACCTTCAAAGTAAGTTTTAGAGCCTTCTTCACCTCCCCCCCCTTTGGTTTTTTTTTTCCTTCTTTTTTTCCACTGACTTCAATGTTCAAAAGTAACACTCAGAAGCCAATAGTAGGCAACTGCACAGAGGACAGGACATAATCTTACAGTTCTCTTTCAGTGAGACCCTCAGATAATAATTTCTTCAACTCTTCTCTAAAGGTCAGTAGAGTGCTTTTGTCCACCAGCAAAAATGCAGCCCATTTCACATTTTCCCAGTGACTGTTAACTACTTCTTAGCGATAAGCTGGCCCTCAACAAGCTCAGTCCTACAGACCATTCTCTGCAACCCCATTCTGCCCATCTACATACCAACTACCCAAAACCAGACAACTCTTCTGGGCTCAGGCAAGGCAGGTGTAACAATGTCACATTTTTCTGTTCTCTGTTGACCAGTCCATCATCAGCCCATTCTGCAAGGAGCTTTGTCAAGGACTAGATCCTTTCTGCAGTGTATAAGGTGGTTTCAGGAGACTGAAGAAAGATAACCCTTCTCAAAGAAGTTTAGGTTCTCTGCAGTTATTTTTGTATCTCTTGTAACAGGAGTGACATATCAGCAAACAAGGGACTGCTCCTTCTCCTAATCAGCAGCCAGAGCGGGTGGGGAAAAATCTTCACTGTTAGACTCTTCCTCCCTTCCTTCCCCATGCCTCCTCCCTAAGCTTTCCTGGCTTTTGAAGCTTGTCTTTCAATTAGATCACTTCATACCAGCCTTAATCTTCAGTCTTTCTTCTTGGGGAATAACTACATAAGGACTGTCATATTGAATCAGATCAAATGATGACAGGGTTTGTGGTCTTTCTCTACCACTGACCTATAGCAGATGCTCTGGCTACTCCAGCATCTGTCCTCAGCTTTTGTACTTAGCTGTTTGAAGCTGCAGAAGACTCAAAATTTGACCCAATTCATGTCAAATTGCACTTTCAGTGCTGCTCACAAAGGTCTGATTAGTCTAGAAAGTCACACAGCACCGGTCAGCTTTTGCTGAGCATTCAGAAAGCAGGGAGTTCTGAGCAGACACAACTGTCCCTGTGCATCACCACACCAAGCTCACGACAGCTCACACTTTACACCATCTCTGGGCTAGGACTGACATGTATTTGTTTTTAAAATAGATTTTTTTACAATTAGTCCCCACACTAACCCTGGATATTTTATTTCATGTGCAAATGTGTTCATTTCCCTAAGCATACGATTTTTGTATCTGACACACATCATCTTTCTTGAATACAGGGCACTTTTTTTCCTGCTATATGGAATATCTTCCACAGTGTCCAGTCAAGCCACTAGTCTCTCCTAAAGTGAAACAAATATGTTCTGAACCTGGGTTTGTCCTTTACTTCTGGGAAATGGCTTTAGACGAAGGTTTGGGGGGGTTATTCTTTCTCCCTTTCCCCAAGACTATGTATTGGTTCTGCTGCAGTGTTCCTGCTAGTTCATTGCTAGGTACTGCGCTATCATCAAAGCATGCAATAGACTCAGGCTTTCAAGAAAGAAGATACAGGATTGATTCAGAGAACCGTGTGAGGATGAGAATACTTTTAACAATACCAGTCTCCTTTTATCATATCTTTTCATATTTTACTCATAAGGATTTTTTTGTGTGTTTAGAAAGCTATGCCTTTAAAAATGTCTTTTCCAAACTTTTGAATGAAGAGCTGGTAATCTTCCCTGTTGTTGCAATAGTACACTGGTATGATAAACCATGTATGTTATCCACAAACAAGTGGGTTTTGTAATCCAGTGGAGCAAAGTCCATGCTTACACCAGAAGAACATTTTTGCTTGGGAAGTTCACTTTGCGTTTAAGGTAGAAAATAATGATGTTTGCAGTACAGTAGAACTGATACTCACTTTGCTTTGCTAGAAGCACTGGGCTTGCTTGGCAGTTAAAATTTCTCATTTAAAAATCTCTCTCAGTTGATACAGGTATGTATACATAAAGCCATGAAAAAGTACACAAGCTTTCATATATGATGGCTAAACCTTGCTAATGCAGGGACTCTAAAAATTTACTTCTAGAGTGCAACCATGGAAACAATGAAAAATGTGAATTCAGCTAGATTTTCTGGCAATTGTAGATCTTTCCATGAAAGCACAACAAATCAGGGATTTAAAATGCATAATAGGTTTATTGTTTCACACAGTTTCTCCCTATTTTGGTTGAAATACCCAAGGCATAACCAGACATCGATGTAGAGTATAGCAAAGGAAGAAGTTAAACTTTCAGAACAGATGGAACTTTTTATGTAATTATCAGTTCAGTCAGATGGATGGGCAGGAGCTAGAGCTAGTCAAGGGAGGCTGGATCAATATATCCATTTGACGCTCCTCCCTGTGTGACTCCAGCGCATTATACTGATATTACTTATAGTAATATTACTTATATAAGTTTTACTAGCAACCCAGAACAGAGATGAAACAAGAGGTCTTATTTATTTGAAAGGGAAGTTTTCTAAAGAAAGGTTATAGTCCCTTCAATACTTAGCTTTGCTTGCCTAAGAATTACAAATATATTGTTGGAAACCAGTTAACATCCAAAATAGGGATTTGCAGATAATGCAAAATATCTTGTCTGTTGACTGATCACAGGCACTTTGCTAGCCAGCTCTCAAGTGTCCATGGGTGACTAGTAGAGAGGGTATTCTTAACATTCTCATCAGCACTTGAAACCTCAACTTATCTCCTAATCCTACCAGCAACACATTTCAACAGCCACTTACGAATGCACAGCCACTACTATGTGAATCATTTCCCAAAATATGTAGCTGTCTATTCCGGAGTCTACTCTTGCCCTTCCCTGCACTTATATTTCAAACAGCACCACTGCACTAATTTGTTATCTGTGATTGCTGCAAAGCTCTGTCAGAGCGCCCTGCTTCCATCAGTGGGCTCTGCCAGCACGGATGTGACGCCAGCAGTTTCCCTTAGCTTCTTGGGTTCTAAAGAAAGAGGACAATTATTGTTTGTTAAACACAGCCACGCAAAGTGTACTTACTGCAAACTGCCAAACGTCCATCAGTCACTTTCCTTCGCAGAAGAGTGGCTCCTAAATGGACTTTTTACAGAGTCGCAAGATAAGCCACCTCTTCTCTTGAGCTTTACTGCTTTCAGTGTTTTCACCTCCCTCCTTCCAGAGGAAGGAACAATATAAATACCTGACTTGTATAATTCAGCTGCCAAAAAGGCTGCTGCAGTGTGGTATTACATACTTCCCTTCCCGCTACTCTAGCACTGACCAGACAGTGCATCAGCTGTGCAAAAAAATAGCCAGTTCTTTTTGACCTTCTTTGCCCAGAACATACTAGCTCCGAAATGCCAGCTCTCTGGGTGTTAGGACATATTCCACGCTACAGCTGAAGTGCTGCTGTAGCACTGAGCCAACAGAGCCATCAGAGGACTGGGCACAGTCTGAACTGTGCTCACACCATCTTCTGCCTGCAATCACGTATCACTCACAGCTCATTCATCCAGGTAGGCTGCTGGTCTCACACAGATACAGCACTCCCAGTACATTACCCAGGTTGCTCAAGAAGTGCTGCTCTGTGCCACACCTGCATACCCTTAGAGAGAAACAAGTGGGTTTGGCCACTTACAGGCAACTCGTGTTGAAGGAGCCAGAGGATCAATTAGAGCAGATTTACATTAAGAGCTGCCTGACAATATGATGCTTCTTTGCGTGATCTCAATATTTTGATTTTAAAAGCTGGTGCTCGTTCAGTGCAGATCAGTGTGTACCATTCCCAGAAGGTACAGGCTAATTATTAATATTACTCATGCTCCTCCCTCTACTCCCAGACCAATCCTTACGATAGGCAGGCTTATTTTTGAGGAGAGGAGGAGGAAGTCCAGTGAACAGATCTACCTACAGTCACAGTGCTGTTTAAAATTAATCTTGGTAAAATTAATACCCAACACCAGCTCCAGAGACCCTTCTATATGGTCCCAGCCCTCAGCTTCAGTGGTGCAACTACAAAGTTGTTGTGCTGTGCTACATAACACAGCCCCAAAGCTGTGCAAGTAGTAATAAAAGGGTAGTGTGGGATGGCAGGAGGAGGCTGGGAAACACTTATACTCCAAAGCCACAGCACCCAAAAGAAACTTTATTTCTCATTCTTCACGTAACACGTTATCACATACACAATCAAGAATTGTTTACATTTCTGCTTCACTTTAAATGTTAAAAATATTAAATAACATTTTCTGTGTTACATAACCATATTCAGGTTATACGGACATGCACCATAGTCACATAATGGTGGCTGAACTTCTTAATCCAAGTAGAAGCACTGGAAGCATGCAAAGGCAAACAATTTTTGCTAGTGAACTTTTGAACCTCAGTTGAAGACTGTGTTTCTGATAAGAAGAGACAAATTTATGATAGTTAGCATCACCGGCAACCAGTGTTCATTAGTGATCCCAAGGACAAAAAAAAACAGGAGAGAATCCCCCTTTTTAGGCTTAATGAAGCAAGTAGTAAATTCACATTCTAAGACTAACCAGAAGCCACTTCTAAGCAGTTATTCAGGGAAGTCCCCAAGACAAAGAAATATAAATACTACTAATTAGAAGAAAGTATGTTACTGTTGCCCTAAACTGTAAGGGAGCTATTATAAATAAGAACAACCAGAGTGTGGCTGGGGACACCAGAGTAAAGAACAAGAAAGAACTAATGGAATGAAAATCCCAGAAATCTTCAGCCTCCCAGGCAACCTCCTACACTGTCACATATACAAAGCTGTACTGTTTATCTTTATGCAGAAAGGGCTTTGCACAATGATACTTGGAAAATATTTTTTAGTGTAACTATCAATTTCTCCTCCTGCCTCACAGCCACAAAAATAAGCTTTTTTAATGGAACAATTGTTGTTCCTAAAAAAAAAAAAAACCTCCCCCAAAGTCTTGTCATTCTCTGTACTACTCAAATACTCCACATCCACTCCTATGATTGCAATCATGTAAGTACTGTGATGTTTGTGTGGCATACTAAATACTTTGAAATTAAGAGCTGGATTCTGTTTCCTAGTCAATAGCATAAGAAATAGGGTCACTGCACTGCAACGGAACAAGGAAATCTAGAAGTGGCTGTGTTTTGACAACTTCTGGCATACGGTATTTAAAGAAAACCTACCAGACTATAACCCATGCCAAGCCCTTACACACATACTACGTGCGCAGTTACACATGTACTAAATTCTATGCCAATGACTCGCCATAATCAGCTCAATGAGATATTTCAGTGTGTAACTAAACTACAAAAGTAAGCATGGGCAGGGAACAAACCACACTTCTGGATTTATCTGGAGACTTAAGGTTGTGCAGTTAACGACTTAATCAGCCTTATGATTATAATCTGACATTTCCAAACAGAATTTTTCATATGCTGTTTATGAAATATGAAAGATTATGCTTTAAAAAACATACCTTAAAGAGTGTCACAGTAATTTCAACATTTTCAGGAACAGGCCATACCACCACCCCACGGTATGGGTTCTTGATGCCAGGCTGCCAGCTGTGAGCCTAAAGGAAGAAAAGAAACAGTTGTCTTAAAGCCATTAGGAAAGTGCTGACTCTACTCCCACAGGACTTAGCACATGTAGGTAGAAGTAACATGTCACTGACTCCAAAAAGTATGTGCTCTTAAACCTATGACTCTACTGTATGCTGTGAAAGGACATCATTAAGAATGACAGTAAGGAAACTCAGACCACTGACAGGCTTGTTTTGTTTTTTTTCCCACTGAAATAAAGCTGTTCCTCACAAGGTCCTAAACTCTGGGTGTTTTTTTTAAGTACATAGCACAGGTCAGGACACTCAGAGCCTTGCAAAAAATGAAGGCTGTAAGCTTCTGCAGCAAGATGAGCTTTATTTTGTTTTCATCCAGATGAAGGAATGCTTTTATGTAAAGAATACATGAGTACAGCACATAGTGCAGGCTTAACCATATTCACATCTAAATAGAGTAAAAAGACAATTAAAGAAAAAAAAAAAAGTGAAAACGATTATTTATAATACAGATTAAATGCTACTAAAACATTTAAATTCTTCAGAATTAACATGCTGGGGTGCCTACACCTAGCAAAATGTCGTGGCTTAAAACCAATAGGCAATTGAGTACCACACAGTTGCTCACTCACTCCTTTCCCCTAAGGGATGGGGAGAAGAAAATAAAACAAAAGGCTTGGGCATCAAGACAAGGACAGAGAGGGGTAAATGACCCATTATGGTCATGGGCAAAAGACAGACTCATTAGGGAAAAAAAAAAATCAATTTAATTTGAACACCACCGCCACTTAATTTACCAGAATAGGACAGTGAGAAATACAATGACATCTGAAGAACACCTCCCCTCACCCCTCCCTTCTTCAAAGGCTCAGCTTTGCTCCTAATTTCTCTACCTCCTCCCTCCCCGCCAAAGCAGGGGGGCAGGGAATGGGGTTGTAGACAGTTCATCACCCATTGATTCTGCTGTTCCTTCCTCCTCAGGGGGAGGACTCCTCATGGTCTTCCCCTGCTCCAGTGTGGGGTCTCTCCCATGGGAACAGTCCTCCACAAACTTGTCCCATATGAGTCCTTCCCATGGACAGCAGGTCTCCCAGCAACACACTGCTCCAGCACAGGCTGCCCTCAGAGTCCCGCCCTTCTGCTCTGGCCTGGGGCCCTCCACAGCCCTCCACCATGCTCCCTTGGTGACCTCCATGGGTGCAGGGGCACAGCCTGCCTCACCATGGGCTTAAGGGGAGTCTCTGATCCAGCACATCTCCGCCCTCCTCCTCTTCCTTTCTTCCACTGACCTCAGTGTTTGCAGAGGTATCTCCCTCACAACTCCTCCTCTCAGGTTCCCTTTCTTAAGTACATTATTGCAGAGGCACAGCCACCATCACTAAATGGCCCAGCCTTGGCCAGAGGTGGGTCCAGCTTGGAGCTGGGGGAGCTTCAAGAAGCTTCTCGCAGGGGGCCACCACTGTAGCCCCCTCCTCTACTGTCAAAAACCCCACAACACAAACCCAGCACAAAAGGATAATGAAAAAAACAGCAGTTAAACAGACTAAGAACTTGTCTACCTTTGAGTATCAGTTTAGACTGATGTATGGTCTGTATTTAAAATCTTAACAGCTAATGATGCATGAGCATTTCTGTTCTGGAATAAGTATGCTTTTTTCCAAGCTTGTAATCCATTTTGTAATGCTGTAAGACAAATGAGGGAGGGATGCTGATGTACAAGAGACTGCTGAGGAGCAGGGGTGTTATTAGAAGTCAGTGGAAGTATTATCAGGAAAGAATGTACAATCTATTTACTGTTATCTAAAGCCAATTAACTTAGCTTTTTTTTCTTTTTTTTTAAATTCTAAAGCATTACTCATTGCATTGTTATACTCTTTCCAATATTCAGAACTTCAGATTAAGACTGCCTATTATAATAAATTGTTGCTATAACAAGGTTAGTAGGAATTGTGCCACAGGTTCTCAGGTACCCCAAGGTAACCTGGGCAACTTTAAACATAAATTTGCTATACTAAAGTGAGAAAGACTAAGATGGTGAAACAGTCCCAATTCAGTCACATCAAGGCAATAACTCTGCTGCTGGGTACTATAAGCAGCGTGTACTCCAGATGCCAGGCTGTGAGAGACGAGAAACCAGGCTTGTGAGAAACTAAGACAAACAACCTGGGAAAGCAAAAGTTGATTGAAGAAATGGGGATTTGCGAATCTGAGTGAGTCACTTGTCCCCCTCATCTGAGCGGGACGTGACATCGGCTCATATCCAACAGCCCCCTCACACATGCTTGCTGCTTCAGGAGTGCTCCTGCATTCAGCTGGACTTTCACGGGAGCCTGCAGCATCACAGGTACCTCCAGCGGACTCGCTCTGACTCTGATCCCTCAATCCTCACAAAGCAGAGCTCTACAGATTACTTGCAGCTGACAATAACTGCTAAGGCAGCAGGGACAAGGAGAGGAAGGATGAAGGGAGAGACAGAGGAGTTGGAAAGATGTAAAGCTGAGGAACAGGCAAGCTGCTGATACAATCCAGCCTGCACAGCCACCAAGAAAGAGAGCCCTACCTGCCTCCACAGCTACATATGCATGGCATGCTAATTTCCATCCCATTATTTTTATTTTCTTGCCAAACACTGCCAGATCTCCTGTGGTTTTATCACAAGTTTTTCCCACCTCTGGTGTTCTGCTTAAAACCCCAGCTCCCAAAGATGCCTAACTAGATTAGAAATTTCAGTAAGCTTCTATGCTTTGTGCTTGCAGAGTAAACTTAAATAATATGACTTGGGGCATCTGAAAAAAAAGAAATTTAACAAAAGAGCAGCTTGAAAGAACCCAATTTCTACTACTTTTAACTCCATGACTTTCAGACTAATCTCATTATGTTAAAGCAGGCCTGGATGAATTTCTGAATAACTGAACTAACAACACCGTTCATAGCTTTACTCCACAAGCTTAGATTATAAGAAAAACGTGTTTTCTGAGCAGAAAAACACACCACAGTAATTGCAATCCCTACCACAGCCACTCAAGCTCCAGCTCACATCTCTCTTTCATGGGACCTGCAGTCCCCCTCAACATTCTCCCCTGGCCTGATGGAGATATTCAGCAGGCACCAGGCAGCGATCCAGAGCCAGGCACATGCTCACCTGTCAGCCAGCCTGTCCTCATGTAGCACCTTGTAAGATAAACCAACTTCTCCTCCACACTGTGCAAGGTTTAATCCTTGCCGGGATGAGAGAACACGTTGCCGTTGCCCCTCTCCCACCCGCGCCAGTCGGGTTGGAAGTTAAACACAGACCCCGGCTAAAATAACAAGAAATTTAATACAACAGAGTGGTAGAACAATCTGAACAACAACAGTATCAATGGTAACAACAATAAACAGCAATAACAGTGAACAAGACAAAAGATATACAGAGAAATACCGCTAAATGATCACGGAGCGAACCCGCCGCGTGTATGGCAAAACCCAAAACCAGAAGCGAAAGTAAAAAGGCTCTGCCCCTGGACCTGACGCCAGCATGGTATGAATAACCCGGCTGGAGATCCCTTACCCCTCTCTCTCTGCTGGGGAAAACTTTATCCTGGCTGAACCAGGACGCACACTCTACCCTCTTTCCAGATACCAATTCACAAAACTAACAGGAGCTCATGGAGTGTCTGGAACCTGCACTCTCTTGCTGGTTTTGGCCAATAATGACAATTATGTCAAACTTGCAATGTCCAATGTCCAAGCACTGACAGCCTGCTCATCTGAGGATCATTTGTTCCATTTATAGAACAAACTAGAAAATAAGCATTCACTGGTGCAAGCAAACCTTTACTCAAGCACTTTAATAAGTGTTGCCTCCCACCAGGAGAATTAGTGAGACATAATAAACACACACATATAGTTATATATGATTTTTTGTCACTGTGACAGGTATGTCACTGAAAGCAACAACCAGGAGACAGGCCCCAGCTAATGAGCTTTTAAAGCAAAGCTGTTCTGTGATCAGCTGAATGTTATTAAATCCTCCCTTGGTTTTGAAAAATAAACACTGTACCACACATAGTGACAGGAAAAGATAACGTAAAAACTATATCTGCATTGTTGAGAAAAAGAAAGGGAAAGGGGAAAGCAAAGGGGAAAAAACACAGAGGAAGGACTAATGACAATGATAATTTTAAATTAACATGAAGAGTTACTCTAATGCAGTATTTCTCATGTCAGGTAACTTCAAGAAACTGCAACATAGAAGTCCATCTGGCCTGTATCAAAAAAGCTTTTCAACTCCTAAATTACAAGCCTTGACTTTGGTATGTGAGCTGGATCAGGCCACCCATGCATAGCCGAATTGCCAACACTTCCAGACAGTGTATTGCTGTCAGGGCTCAGACAAGGTGAGGTGCTGCATTCATGCAGTATATTTCCACCCTAACCCTCACCTCTAACTCTATTGCCCAATAGACCCACTTTTTCTTTATCTCCTACTAGTTTTCACTAGCCATCTCCCCTTTTCTCTCATGCCAAGGCAACAGAAGCCACTAAGCAGAAGTGACTGCCAGCAGCAGGTGCCTCACCCACAGCCCTCCCCCTTGCCAGAGCCATCTCTTAAATCCAAGGGACAAAAGCTATGGCCTGGAAAGAGAAATGCTCTGTTGCATTTCAAGGAGCAAGGCAACTCCTCCTTTTTTCTGCCAGTGGAAAATAAAAGGAGACAACGTAGCATGAAAGTTCTTTTAAATCAGGAAACAGAAGCCACAGAAGGGGTTGCTGGAATACCCTATAAATAGAGTAGGGCTGTGAATGACATTGTCCAACCTACAGCATCGCTCTGGAACAAAACTAATGACTGTTAGAGGAAAAGTGCTGTTTAAGAAAGGATGTGAAGGTGAGCCTACAGACTCACCCAGACAATTCAGGCTACCCATTTTTGAGATCCTTCCCCAGTTTTCTCTCTCTGAAATGACAGCACTCACAAACCAGACAGCTTGCTTTTGCATACACAGTTGTAAACATCACAACTGTTCTACTGT